TGTTGCATCTAGTTTGCCCTACTACAGATAACTTCTAATTGTTGTTGTTTCCTTTGCCATTTTACGCTTTTGTCTTTCAATTTATTGCACTATGATTGTTGCACAAAATGAAGTATATGGCTAATTGTCTATGGGGCTAGGACTTCACTGGTACGTGCTTTATTGTGCTAGCTAAAAGCAGATCAATAAACAAAATGTAAGGACTAGCTCTGCAGAATTCACACTTTAACTTTCTGAAGGAAAACCTTTTGATTTTGAATTGAAAAAAAAACCTTTGGCCACTTAATTGTAAGAGAAGATCATAAAAGACTGAAGTTATTTTACCTGCTTTATTTGGACTGCAAGGCCCCGCAAGAGCTCGAGCCAAGATGACCAGCAGATACACAGTAAGGGTCAGCATTTCTTGCAATGATCTGAGGACAAAGAGAATAAAAGCTAAAAATGTCTTTAGAATTGGAGACAAAAACAATACATTGTCTGCAGACCTGAAACTGTCAGTACTGTTATACGTGGGCTTTTTGCAGAGAGAAAAAAATAACATTAATGATATTCTGTCACCCAGTGTAACTGCATCTACAGGATAAATATTTCCAAGACCATTACTATCAATGGGTCCCTATTGTGACAATATTACTATTTCAGTATAGTGGTGGCTTTTAATCATTCTAGTTTGATTTCTTACAAAGGTTCCAAACCTGAAGTGTTAATATTACCAAATGAAACTGAAACAATATGATCCGGGAAAAAAAAAAAAAAAAAAAAAAGACGGAATAGAAATTACTAGAAGAAATATGATACAAGAACATATATAGTGTGCTTAAAATTTAGTGCTAAAACTATTCTCTGTGATGATGGCTATCTTGATGTATATACTCTTCACTTCATGTAGCTCAGTTCCGGCAAATTATGCATTTTCTCCTTTGGTGCTCAATGTTGAGTTTTACGAAAACATACATAGCAGTAATTTACATTTTCTTTCCAAGCCTCAAATATGCAAGTTGTTTCCCACAGGGAGAAGCATATATTACATGTGGGATTGGGGCTGGAGTTCTCATATTTTCCCTTTGTAGGGATATATTCTTCAGTATCAGCCCTCATATACACATCACTAAGAAGACTGTCAGAAGTAGCTGATATCATTTAAGTAAAGAAAAAAATCATCCAAACTCAGTATTTCTAATAAAAACAATCAACTTCAACATTTTCACTCAACCTCTATTTAAAAATATATATTTATAAAAGGCTCATAAAATATATTTCAGTGACAATTCCTACTAATTATAATCCTAGGCATTCTAAAAGAAATTAATTGTTATACCTACAGGACAGGAAGGGGATAAGTATTCAGATTTTCATTCCGGTCTTATTCCAGTAGCTGCACTGTCGGCTCTTCCCAAGATGTCCTCTTTCAAATGAACCCAGCTGGCATTATCTTCGCTTTATATAAGCAATCTTGTAAAAGGAGCCCATCTCTGGTTAAATCTCAACCCGCCAGTATTGTCCAGTGTGGGAGGAAAAAAAAAAGAGTTTTAGAAGAGCAGTTCTCTTCCCCTAGATGGGACTGTACTGTTGCTGCAATTTGATTTTTAAAAAGTTTTTCTATGGTGGTTTTATTAAAGATCTTGAAAACAACTGAAGAGAAACCTGCTGAAGGTACTAAATTTTTGGTTTACAAGTTAATTAGGAATATGTAGAATTTCTGCAGAGGTGAAGCCACAACTGCCTTCTAGAATTCAGTTAAAAATTATTTATAGGAATTAGAAGCTTGTCTTAAATGGCTTATTGACCGTGTCAAACTTTTGTGCCATGCAAGTGGACAAAAGTAATGGCAATAGATCATAGACCACCTTTGGGGTTGGGTTTTTTACTTACGTTTTCTAAAAGTTCATAGGCATGTTACCTGAGTTTAGGTAAGCTCTTCCATAAGCCTAAGCATTATATTACATAATTATAGTACATAATACTACAAAATTATAGTACATAATACTACATACATATAAGACTATGAAATATAAGTTAAGTACTACACTACAGGCTGTGTAAAATTTACCATTGCACAGAAAACGGAAATAAATTTCCTTTTCACATGCCCATCAGTCATGAGGTTGCCTATGGCAGTCTTGGTCAGCTGGTAGGATTTTCTGGTGACCTATTACATCCTGTTTGTATCAGCTTTTAGTGACAGACATGGAAAAAAAACACTTGGGTTTGCTACTGCTATTTTAGATGCCTGCATAAGAACGTGGGCTGTAAACACTTGCAGTGTAAACTGGCACAGCCTCAACTTTGGGCATGTGTGTATCTACCCAGTTTCATGTGTTGTTGAACTACTCTGATATCTGTCTTGAGTCACGAAACACGGAGGATCTCACTGACCTTGCTTGTGGGACCCAGCCCTGTGGCGCTGCTCACAGGTGATTTGGTATCTCCTCTGGGGGAGAACCTCATTCTCCCCATCCATGGCAGGACTTTGGTGTGGATGTCCCTTCTCTCAAGGGATTTCTGGCATATAGGAGAGACACGGTATTAAAGCTGTGCTAGTTGTCTTTAGTCTGGAGCTTTTGGAAGAGGAGAGTGGAGCACAGCGGCCCTGACATTAACCCAAAATGCTAGACAAGGAGTTTTTAGCTGCCTGTGGGTGAGATTTATGGGTGCACCTTGAAGACAGCATTCACTACAAGAAGAGTTTCAAGCTGAAAGGCATGAGCACAGCAGAGCCATGACTGCATCATGCCCTGTGAGGGCTGCTGGCTCTCAGCGGTGATGGTGTGCAGGTGAACTGCAATGATACAAAGATGTAATTAGGGTGACTTCTGCTTCTGGCAAACGGATCCAAATCCCTAAAGAAAGGTTGTAAAGCCTGTACGTTTCTCTGCTTAGTTTCAAATAGTAAGTCTGAATCTAGATAGAAGCTTCCTAAGGATTGCTATACAGAGCAAATAATGGGCTGCTCTCACTATTGTTGTGAACCAAGTCCTGCAAGCCATCACATTCTGATTTGAATGAGATTACTTAAAGATGGACAATGGATAAAATCCCTTGTTTGCTGTTATTGTAATTGAATTAAAGAATAATCCACTGAACAAGGACCAAAGCTCATAAATCATTTGGTATTACCTAACTAGGGATTATCCTCATCAGAAATCCTAAAACAAGGAAATTTAATTCCAGGTGTCTGTTTTATAACCTCACCTCAAATCCTGCAGGCATTGAGGCCTAATTTTGATTTCCTAAGCCAAACTGAATAGACACTGTGTAAACTCCTTTTTGTCTTTCTCTGTGTGTGTGTATTTGGTCTGTAACCAGGAGCCAGGGTTTATAGTGAGACATTATGATCAACCCTGTTATCAAGAATATATAACCCAGTAACAAGGGGAGGCTTGCAGGAGAAAGCCTGTGACTCTGGACATGAGAAAGCCCTCCTGACCTTGTACAAGCTGATTCTTCAAGCTCAAGGGATCAGTTTCAGCCCTGGGGTTGGACTTGGTCTGTCAGGTCTGCCCCCAAAGAGCTGATTTGGAGCATAAGATATTTGGCTAACCTTGATTAGCTATAGTGGTTAACCTCACCATAACATTAACAAAGCTCTTGAAAGGCAGATTAGCTTTTTACTGATTTAGCAAATACTGTAATTAAATTAACATTGGTGTAATGCTAGAGGTTTCAGTGGAATTACTCCAAAATGCATCTTATCCCACAATTTGTAGAAGAAAATAGATCTCTTGCTATCTTCTCACAGAAAACTAATCTCCATGTACATAATGCTCCTTTTAGGCAAAAGGTAGAAAACAGAATGAAAACCATGAAACAAATTTGGCAGAAGTGCCAGCTGGTGTATAGTAGTCTGCATTTGCATAAGAAACAAGCACAAAATGTACCTAAGCCAACCAGCACTTGATACCTGCACTGATCAAAGGTGAGGGCTTGGGGAAGGGTTAGGTTTCTCTCAGTAATTGCATACATAGAAAAAGGAAAGCCATTAACTTGTAAAACAGACCACTGAGGATTGTTGCAGTTCCCTGACTCTTTCCAAGCCCATTGAATAATCTCAGCAATCTAAGTATCTGTAAAGATTTTGACAAAGAGCAAATGAAGGCCTTATTGAGAGTTTCACCTACAAGGGCATTTTGTCTCTCCAGCCTTGTTCCTCACATTGTGATGGAAAGCTGTGTGAGTATCTACTGTCTGGTTCTTACACGAAGCAAATGAGGTTCTGCTGTTTGAATCTGCAAGGGATATTGTGACATCTAATTTTCATTGGGTTTGGATAAAACAATAAAACTGAAGAGTCCCTTAGATATCTGGAAGGACTTTATGGGACACTGAGGATCAGTGGAGACAGCAAGCTGATTCCAGGAGTGAGATCTGGTGACGTTCATCTAGAGGCTGAAATGTGTTAATGATGGTGTTTCCACACCCCAAAACCTGGCATACTCAGTTTTGTCTGCTATAAGGAGTGTATTTATCCCACAGGCATAGAGACATCCATGCTGGGTCTGGAAGCATAGCAACTGCATTTGTATTGGGCCTGATCTGAGTTAATGGGTCCTGTTGAAAATGCAGCACTGTGTTGGTACAATCAAACTTTTCCTGAAGCTTACTGTGTAGAGTTGTTGCCTCAAGTCATAAATACCTTACAGATTTAAGATTGTTTTGCCTTTTATAGAGTAAATACCTTTCCAGTAGTTTGTTACTCATGGCACGTGGTTGGTCACTCACTTCAGCACATGACTGAGTCACCACCCCTGGAGGCAATGTAGATGTGGCACTAAGGGACTGATTAGTGGTGGACTTGGCAGTGTTAGGACAGTTGAACTTGAAGATCTTAAAGGTCTTTTCCAACCTAAATGATTCTATTCAGTGAATGTTTTAGCCTTGTTAGCAAATTACAGAATCATGCAGGTACGTAACAGAGCCCCTGGCACCCACAGACACTGCAGCCTAAATCCTCAGGTAGCTGATATTCTTCTGTAACTGCACAAAATGTATCAGAAGAAGGAGAAATCAGAGGAAACTATCTTTGTAGAAGAGTCGCATAAAAATCAGAGACAGATGTTCAGGCCACTGGAAGAGACAGTCTTCTGCTCTAAACTTCCTCATGCATCACCTGTCTGTCTGTAACTACGCGACACTGAATCATAATTTTTCAGCAATCACCTGCAGCCATAGGCTTGATGAGACAGTGCTGCTGTCGTTACATGCACTGCCAGGGTGTGGGTGAGCACAGACTCTCACCTAAAGAAGCGTTCCCTTGACATTTCTGCTGTTCAAGACAAGTATCTACAACGGCAAGTCTTGCCGAACACAAAATTGTGGCTGAAGTAAATAATAATATTTCATGTTCAGTTGAATGCCTGATCTTATTGCTGTTTAGCTTTGCCAGCATATTTAGAGCAATATTCTATGGAAGCTTCTCCAGCAAAGTTCTGCCTGGAGTTTGCTACTGTTGGAACAAAACATCGGTTTCCATCTGAGTTTCCTTGAAGCCTTTGTGTGGGTAAGTGCTTTATTTGGTGTATTTTTTATGGGCTGTCTTGGAGCTAGCTAGTTATGCAGGATAAGGATGGGGCTTGATTTAATAAAGACATGGTGCTTGATTTAATAAATGCATGAGAGATGTAAAACAGGTCTTGCGAGACCAGAATGGATGACTTACACTGGTCATGTGAGACCTCAGTCGTCCTTGGGCTGCCACAACTTGCCAGACACTTGATTAATTTGCCTAAATGAGGGGTGTATTGTGTTAGCAGGTGCTGTAAGGTGGCCAAGATATCCTATGACACCTCTAGGACTACTTTTGGAGTGGGATCTGGAAGCCAGACAGGATACTCAAGGACACACAGACTGGGTGTCTGTGTGTGGGCATCTGAATTGAGCCAGACACACTGCCCTGGTTGGCTTGGCATTATTTTTGTTTGCCTTTAGTCTAAGCAGCCCTGCACACTCTGTGCCACACATGCCTGAGCCTGCTCCAGTCGGCACAGGGCCCTCAAATTCCTCACTGGGTGCCCAAGGCAAGCTTCCAGGTAGAAGCTGGAGCACTTCTAGGGGAAAGATAGCTTTGAACCCTGCAAGCGAGGAGAATTGCATCTGCTCTCCCACAGTCCTGGGCAAGGGCTCTGACCACCAGGCCTGTCTCCTCCAGCTGTTCTTTGAAGAATGTGTGGCTGTGGCTGCTGAGCTCGGCTGTATTCAGAGCTGCTGTCCTACCTGACATGTGCCAGAGCAGAACTGCAGGAATTTTCTGTTGAGAACACGTGGATTAAGTGTTCTGTAGTGGGACAGTGTTATTGGGGAATAGCATTCTGTAATCACCTGAATGTGGCCTAAATCATTTCTGGTTAAGTGCTGTTTTGGATCTCAACCATATTGTCCTGTATAACACCTTGTAAGCCTTTTAGTTCTTGCTATCTTAACAACAGGTCTTGATCTCCTGGCACTGTGGGGCAGAAATCTTACCTCAGTGTGGGAGAGGATTTTAAGAGTAAGGTGAGAAAGAAGGAAGAATGGACTTTTTGTGTCATTCATTAGCTTAATCTTCTCAGGTTGACAGCTGGCTCTGACACAGTGACTGTTGCTCTTCTTGCTCCAGTAATGCTCTCTTTCCTGGGCATTATCCCACTAGTGCTGGAAAAGTTGCAGATAGATGATGTTTCTCTGCTTGCACTGGATTATGTCACTACAACTTTAAAAGAGTCTGCATTAGCTGTCTGATCTTCTGCTTGATTCTCAACCATGTGTATTGGCCATAAATAATGCTGCTTGCCCAACCTGCACGCTTTGGTACGGAAAAGCTGACAAAGCCAGGACTGCGTTGCATTAAAAATATACCCAAGGCAAGTTTATCCTCTGGTGTCCCTCAGTGGCAACTCCATTGATTTCTGAGAAACTGACCCTAAATGTCTGCTGCTTATTTTAAATATATAGCTAAGTAATAAAAAAAAACAAAGGAAAGAAAAGCGAAGGGGCGAACTGAGAAAAATTTCAGACGGAGGAATGCTGAATATGGGACTTGATTGCCATATAGCTTGAAAGTGTCTCTGTCCATTCACATTCCCAAGCCTAGAAAGCTTTCCTCAGATTTGCAGTCTTTATTGCCCTGGGAACCTCGAGCGCTCCTGCTCCCTTTGTAGCACCTCTACCCCTACCTGAGCTACAGAGCCCTTCTCTGGCTTCCTGACTAACCCATGGTTTGAGCCAGCTGAATTATAAACCTGCTTTGTGGGATTGAGATGATAGGATCACACACACGAAGGACTGGTAAAAATCAGGTTCTTGAAATGCTCACCATAATTCCTATCCTCTGAAGAGTTAAGATCCATGCATTATCCCTGGGAAATAAACTTTCAATATCTGTAGTGCTGCCCTCTCAAATCAAATAAAAAACCTCTCCACTTCTATCAACAGCAACTGCTGATTAAAATCACAGTTTTGGTTTCCCAAGCTACATAATCCTGCTAGCTCGTTCTAAGACCTACTTTCCTTAGCACACTGCATCCATTATACTGGTGTTGTCCTCATTTTTGAAAGTTTGTGATTTTTCAGCAGTCTGATAGCATCATCCTTGGAGACAGGCTCTTTTTCTGTGAAAGGGATCTGTTTGTTATCAAGAATTATGTGGCTCTGAGAGCTACATATACCAAATTTAACTGCATTAATTAGCTTGTGCTGTGCTTGTAAACTGATCATAATAATACTTATCACAATCTTAGTGCCATTATCTCTGTTTTGCAGATAATGGAACTGAGCCATAGAAAGGCAAAGCCCAGGGTAGGGCTCTTGAGATGCTCATACTGCTCTTTTCCTATGTCGGTCAAGCAGAAGCTACCCAAGCAAACTTTGGGTGGGTTTGTCTGTGAATGGATTGCCTGGACTCCCAGGCCATGTCTTCTGGAACAGAGGACTCCCACTTTTCTCAGAGGCTATTTTGCCACCTGAAGTAATAAACTCCTCCTGCTTGCCAGTTTAACATTCACACCGGCCTTTATGCCTTATTGACAATGATTGGATGATCAGCAATCCATTACCAGTTGAGTGTATCAGGAGATTTTCCTCTTCTGGTGCCATAAACAAGTTTTTCTTCCCACTTTGTCAAGACATAGCCTTTAGTGCATTCAGCCTAAAGGACCAAAAAGGTCACTTTCTGAGACTTCCCACAGATAACAGACCAAATTTCAGATCAGTTAAAGGATGGGGTTTTCCTAAAATTCCACCAACACACTAATGATGGGACCCATTGAGATGGTTCTTTCTATTCACCGTGTTTCATAATAGTAGAGAGATGTTACAGTTTCATGTGGTGGAAAGAAGCAGAGCAATTGGTCTAAAGGTTTGAGGCACTCAGCTGGGCATTCATTTACTTGTTGCACTTATGACTCAACCAATTGCAAATAAAAAACAGATCTTACCTTTTTAAGTGACTGTTTGAGGACTTCTTGGAGAATTCACTAAAACACCAAATGCAAGAGATGGCTGTGGTACTCCCCATGTACAACTCTTCAGGGATTTTCAAGGGCTTCCTCTGATAGCCAAGAGAAATCTGACACCTTTGTATTTTCTTCTGCTGAGCTGTAGCTGGTGTTGCATTGATTCACTCAAAATCAATTTGACCATCCCATATGACGGTCAAAAGTACTATTTGCTAGCTTTTAAAAAGACAGTTTGTCTCTTTTAGTGTGGCTTTTAGTAAAGTAATTTGGAGGAAATATGCAGTCTGCCGAAAGATATCATTTTGATCTAAGCTGGCTGAACAGAGCATTGTGGTTATCTGAAAAATGTATGCAATTATAATTTAACAGTGGTATTCATATGGTATTTCCTACAAGCTATTCCAAAAAGTATGACACTGCAGTTCTTTCATGAAAATCCCTCAGGATTACCTTCCAAGGGATTCATAGATTTGTTCTCAGTAACCCACTATAGCTCCAAGTACTCAATTCTCTAGGACAGACTGTGCTGAAGACTCTAGATTGATTATGCTGTTAATGACGCAGGAAGCTCTGCTTCTGCTTGTTTATTCTGAGTTCAGCTAAAATTAGAAGTTGACCTCATGTTCCTGAATTAATTTAAAGACAAAAATACAAGTTACTGATTCTGATGATTTTTTTCTGGAAATATGGTCTCGAGAGCCAAAGCTCAGAAGTATCTTCCTTGAGCTGTGAGTCAGTTTTTAAGTGATTTGAAATGAAAGGTGTCTGAGCCCATATATGATATATATGAGCAGTAACTCCTGACCAAATTCCAAGGTAATGCCTTAACATGCTATGCTGGACATCTACAGATATATAAGATTTTGAAAGATCAAGAGGGTGTCAAAGCCTTGCTTTAAATGCTTGAAAACAGCTGGGTAAATTCAGTAAGTGTTATCTGGACAGACATGATCTATTGCCTGTTTGGCTGTGCCAAAAGCACACGAAGTTGAAGTGTTACTCTTTGCATCTCTGGATGGTCTTGATATCTAAAAAAAAAAAAAAAAAAAGAGTAAAAAGAACAGGGAATACCGTATCTTTGACAGCAATAGGTTGGGAAAACACATTGTTGATGTTTCAGAAAGGGTGTAAGCCCTAAAGTGCTGATTTTGAAGCACTAGGAAAGGGTTTGCTTTCACACTTTTCCTTAAGATCAGTTTTGGTTTTTCTCGGTAGACTCCAGAAAAAAGTGTACCCAAATCAATAGCCAGTTCTGAAAATGTAAGCCAGTTTTAGAGTATTCTGAGACACTTTGCTAGAAACCCTTTGGAAAAAAAATGTATTTTAAATGCCCACACTCTACATCTAATTCTGGGGACAGGAGTGGTGTTATTTTGACATAGGTAAAGCAAATGAATATGAATATATAGAAGATACAGTGATGATAGTATTTTCTGTGTTTGCAATACCTTTCATTCCAGGCTCTCAGAGACCTTTATAAAGATTTTACTCCAGTCGCCAACTGGCCAGGAGATGGTGTTAGTGGTGTTCTATAAACAGACAACATGTGACACAGAACAGCAAAGTGACTCACTCATATGAAATCTGGTATAGGCATTTCACCCTCCTCTGCATGCTGTCCCATCTCTTGGGTCTTTCCTTGGCCTGTTCTGATTATTTGCATTATCTACATTAATTTTTATTTAGTGTTGCCCTTTCAATATGGCAAGCAAGCAACAATATGAAGGCAAACATAATTTTCTTGGATCTTTGTGGATACATTAGTTAACTAACAGTGCAGGTGATTTACTATAAGGTAAGTTAAAATAGAACAGACCAAAGCCTACATCACTCAGGACTAGCAGAAGTGAGTGAAAGAAGTTCAGTCATCCAGACATTTTTTACTTCTCTTCCAAGCCTTAATCTTGTGGCTAGTAACAAGTAGTTGGGAAAGATATTCCTCTCTAGGACAAGAAATGCCATATGCTCCATTCCTCCTTCACCTCCTGTCAGGAGCCAACTCAGCTGACATTCCCAGTTGCAGACTGACCTCAAACCTTCCAGTCTCCTTTTCTATCAGTGTTGTGAA